AAGTAGCCTGAATGGCTCAAAATGTGCATGGCTGCCTTTTGGACAGGAGGTGCAGTTATACAGTCCCCTACGAGCAGTTGTGTGTGCATGTTGGCTCTACGAAAAACAAAGCAAAAGCTCCTCAATCATCATCAGTTATTGATTTTTTTCCACCTTGCACAAGGACAGCTGAAATGTCTGCTTTGTCATGCCAGGGATTGGGGTTATATCATAGAATCATAAAGTCATTTAGGTTAGAAAAAATCTCTAAGATCCTCAAGTCCAACCCCAGCCCATCATGCCCACTGTCCACGTCCCTCAGTGCCACGTCTCCACAGCTCTGAACACCTCCAGGGAGGGTGACCCCATCAATCAGCTGTGCCAGTGCCTCACTGCTATTTCTGGGATGAAATTCTTTTAAATAGCCAACTTGGGTATGAGTTGAAGACAAATGTACGTTAGGGCTTGAGTAGGAAAAAAGTGTAAAACCACCTTTGAGGTGTCAGAATGAGTCAGCCATTTGGCTGGAAAGAGGCACACTGTGGTGTGGGGGCCCTCTGTGGGTACACCAGCATTGCTGGACACTCACTGGGCTGAGCCAAAGGTATGCAGTGGGAAGAGTGGCAGCACGGCCCACAGGTCCCCTCCAGGCTGGCAGCAGGTGCTGTGCAGCTGAGAGCAGAACAAGCTGACATGTCCTCAAGAGCCCCACACAGCATCCCCAGCTGATATCTCTATTGAAATGAGTCATCTATTTCAACAAACTCAAAACCTCCTCAAAGGGAGACATCAGCTCACCTGCTCACTCACACAGCAGATTTAGCTCCTCTGCCACTGAAAGAACTCTTCTCCATTGAGACAGTTATGGTTCTCCTGCACGGCCAAGGTTTGCAGGTTCCTCCTTCAGGTTTTGGGTCCTTCCAAGGGACACTAAAAGCTGGTGAGCTGGCCTCCCCTTGGAGTCAGAGTTCTGCACTAGCACAGCACTTTCCTGGCCTCACCAGCAGTGCTTATGGTCGCTTCCTCAATAGAGGAAGTTGTTTGATTGAGAGTTCAATAACTATTGAACTCAATAGAGTTGTTTCAGCTGTTTCTGTGCTTTTGTCCCCTCAGCCCAACACAAAAGGCACAGCTTTTGGCTTTCCCTCTGCTCTTTACTCCTTGGTCATGCATGGTATGGGCAGCAGAGCAAATGCAGTGAATGCAGGGAGCCAAGTGCTTTGCTGGTGAAGGCAATTATGGGGTAAGCCGTCTGAGCTACAGGACACACTGTTCCTCCTGGTGATCAACCATAGGTAGAGGCCGAAACATTGCAGGGCTGAAACTGTGCTTTGCATTTCCCCTTCAACCACGAGATGGAGCAACTCAACAACAAATGACTGCAGAGCCAACGAATTTAGGTAGAAGGACGTGGCATCCAAGTTCTGGCTCTCCTGGAGATCGCAGGCAGTCCTGCGGGGATGTCGTGATGGCCTAGAGCCAGGATGTGATCCGTGGCTCAGGGTGAACAGGAACAAATTCCAAAAGCCTCTGGGCCCTCTCCAGCCAGGGGGATGGAGGGGAAGGGTGTTGTTCCTGTGCCACTCATTGAAGCCCTCCAGCAGGACCAAATAGCTCAGAGATGAGCTCAGCTCTTCATGGTGACCCCAGAGAAGCACACCAGCAGTAGAAAGTTCCCCAGGACCATCCTAAGGCTTTGCACATTGGTCTGTTGAGGTATCTGCTAAACAGTTTGGTGTCCCCCACTGCTGTTCCCTTCTGGCTGGCTCCCAAAGCTTCCTCTCCAGCACAGAGCTACAGCAGCCCTTCTGAAAAAAGGAAAATCCAGGGGTGGGGATATAGGAGGGCAGAGGAGAGGTGTGAGAAACTGAAAACTGTAGATGTTGAAGGGCGTTTGAGGGAAATCAAATAGGAAAGCAAGAGGACTATAGCAGAGAATGCTCTCTCTTCTTGAGTAGAACAATGATTTTTCTCCCTAATTAGACTCTAATTTAGATGACCAGCACCTTGAGCTGGCCGGTGCAGCTTGGCACAGCTAGGGGAAGGTCAGCCCCAAAGCTGAGCACAAGGAACCAGCAGAGCCTAACCTGCTGCCACCCAGGGCCGCCTGCATGACCTAAAGGGCAAATCTGTGTGGTGGTCACAGAGAAATGGCAAAGATCTCAACACAAGTCAAAATGCGTGTGGAACTTCCTTCTTCAGGAAAAAGCAATGAGGTGACACACACATCCGATGATCTGTTGCCCACTGGTGGCATTGGTGATGTGCAAAGAGGTGCAAGACTGGAGCAGGCCAAACAATCAGACTGCAAGACAAGGGGCAGCCCGCCCACTCTTGTGGTCCTAGTGAAGAATCACAACCTATCAGCATAAGATAAAGGCCTACAGTGTGAAAAGAAAGGCACCTCGCCTGCCCGCAGCTTCCTCACCCCTGCATCACAAGTTGCACTATTAATCAACAGTCTGGGAGTACCCCAGCCTTTCTATATGTTACTCACACTGTTTCATTTCCCCTTTGCTCTCATCCCGCAGCATCACTTTTTCCCACATTCTCCAAGCGAATTTGCACCACCTGCATGCCATCCTGGCCACTCAGCTACAGAATCCTCCCTAAAAATCTTGCCAGGATATTTGCTGACAAAAAGCAGCCCAGCCCTTGGCAATGGCTAGAACATGGTGTGCTGAGAACAACCCCAGCACTTCTGCTTCCTCATCCACTCCTTTTCAGAGCATCCCTCTTCAGACGTGCAGTCACACAAGGCTTTCTGTCCAGACTTCTGTGCACCCCCTGATGAGGCAGGCAGTGCTTATGTGCCATGAGAACACATGCATCCAAGGGAAAATGAGAAACAACTCCACAAATACTAGGAGAAATCCCTGCAAAGGGGGAAGAGTGAGCAATCCTTATGAACACTGGGTATCAGAACATCTGCAAACAAGGGAGCGGAGATCCGTGGTGGCTGGGTTCTGTCCCACATCCCCAAATTTACCCCCATCATCCTTATTTCCCCTTTTAGTAAAGGGGATTGCAAAAACACATACAATGGGCAAAAAAAGTAGTTTTCCTGTTCCTCCCTTAACAAAGTCAGCACCTGACACTCTTCATAGGTAAATTCCCTGCTTCTCAGCAGTATAAGCAGATGCAAGAGCAACCTTTTTCCTTTGTTCCTTTTTTTTCATTTTTTTTTTTAAATACCAACTCAAAATGAACATTTAAAAATCACCACTGAAAACTGATGGTCTCTTTTTCATTTCTGGTAGCACGAAAAGGAAGAGGCACTGACAGCAGTAGCTCAGGATATAGGTTAAAGAAGCTAATGCTCTTGTAGAAAGAAGTCACACAAAGCTCTGCAGGGCCAGAATTTCCTCCTCTGTTAATGGAAACTGCTCTGAATGGGTGACTCACAGAGATGTGAGCCTCACAAAGCAAACTATTTACATCCTCAAATGAGCTTTGTGACAGATCACCTACATAGCGCATATGCGTAGACAGAGTGGGGATGTGTTGCTGTAATGGAAGTGTATGATGAATCAAAAAGCAGCAGCACTTCATGGATTCTAACCTCCAGATGGGCTGTTCCTTTGCATGCAGCTCACTCCACAGCCTTCAAAGAACACACAAGATTCAAGAATTCTACAAGCCAAAGGGAGCAAGTCAACAAGTGCTAGAGATAGCCCAAAGGTGAGTTGGCAAGATACAGCATTACGTTACAGAGAAATCTTACCTTAGAAACTTTCTTCTTGCTACATGATCTGAAAACTAAATGTACTTTGTGTCACCTGTTTTGCTCACAGCATGTTTACTTGTTGGGGTTTTTTGGTTTGTTTCTGAAGAAAGAACAAACCATCCTTTGGCATCTTCTCTTTTTAGAAATCTATACATCAAGCTAGACTGAAATGTCTTTTAATCATCACTAGACCTGCACCAAGTAAAACTTCGGGTAAGCAGCTGAAATTTTACTTTCTTACTTTATTTCCCTACACCTACAATTTCCTTTGACACACTGTTATTTAAAAAAAAAATAATAACAAAAAAAAAAACACTGAAGGAAAAAGAAAGGTCTAATGAAATCTTCCAGAAAGGCAATGCAGCAAAGAACTTTCTCAACACTGATAACTTTTCAGGAATTCCTTAACCAACTTGTCATCCCTTTGGCTGTCAGCAATCGGTTCCCTCCCAGCATTAAAAGGGCTGGCAATGCTTCATGCAAGGATGGGGACTCTGCAGGAGAGCAGCACGCTGTGGGCTCAGGACAATGTTTTGCTCAGTGCAGTGCCTCTGCACAGCTTCATCTCGTCAGTGTAACCCCTCATCTGTTGTAACCCCACCTGAATCTGTGGGCTTGGGTGCCCAGTGCCACTCCCAGCAAAATCCCAAGCCCTGCTGCTGCAGGAGGGCTGAGCTCCCAGGCACTGAACAACCTGCTGCATCACTGGGGATGCTTCTCCCTTCCACCCTCTCGGATCCCCACGTGCTTCCCAACCTCAGGCTTTCCTGTCCTGTTGTATTTGGATAAGAGATTTTCTTTGTTTTCCCTCAGTTTCTCACATAAAGCAGCAGAGCTGCACTGCTGTCAGGGCTGCTGCCCCACTGCTGAGCCGTGCCCCCGTGTCCTCTATGGTGTTCTGCAGCAAAGGAGGCTGCTGAGTGCACAGCCAGCAGCACTGCCAGATGTGGGGACACACATACCTGCTCCAGCAGCATGCAAGCTGCACCTGACCCAGCAGAGGGATGCTTTTTGGCACCCACAGTCTTGCCAGCAGCTGTTCTCCTCATCAGGCTGAGTTTCTGGGGCTGTTTTTCTCATTTCTGTAATGTAACCAAGAGCTTACAGAACTGTTTACCCGGCATCAGCATGTCCTTACAGAGCAAACTACCAACCTGCTCTTCCTTTCTAATAATTGCTAGTTTTTATGCAAGAATTCTTTTTCCACTGTGCTGATCTTTGTCTCAAACTACAGGGCAAGAGAGCTTACCTCTGAAACGCCAGGGAAGCGGCTTGGTCTGCAGAACAGGAACGTACACTGTCCACCTAATGACAGGCTGCCAAATCCAAAATGAAACAGCATCAGTGTCAGTAACTCACGTAAGAAAAGCACCAGGTAAAAGTAACAACAGTTACGGGGAGGCAGATGAAGGTGGTTTCTGAGCTCTAACAGAAAGATTTTTAAAAGGGTTTACTTACAGACAAAATCTGCTGTGAAAGAATTGGCTGCAAGAAAGAACCAGGTATCCCTGTGCGTTTGGATTTGTGACTGATTCTGACAGCAAAAACCAATAAGAGCTTTCCTGATCCTTATCAGGAGAGCCTGAAGGCAGGGTTCAGCCTTCTTCTAACAGAGGATTACTTCAGGACCCCTGCTCAGACCTGTCTACCTTGATATTTTTAATCCTCTCTCAGGGAGAAGAAACCACTGCATATTTGCTGCACTCTGCAGCAGACAGCAGTTTACCAGCTGTGGTAAGCCTGGCTGATTTAAGCAAATGTTTGGGTTCCTAAGTTTCATTTTTCTTCCGAAGACTTAGTCTCTACAGGTTGCGAAGCCAGCACACCAAGAAGAAATACTGTCTCCACGTCTGCAGACACTTGCAGACCTCACTGGTCTTTGTATCAGGTTTTAGATGTGGTCTTCAGTCTTCCTTGTGGTGCAGGTGATTTTCTTCTCTATACTTACCTGGAGACATGAATGACACCTGTACCAACAGCAGTATCAACCCCAGAGTAGAACTGTTCCAGCTGATCATATACACTCCCACATTTATCCTGGGATTGCTGTTCAATGTGATGGCCCTCTCGTTGCTGTTTTTTCCAGCTAAAAAGCTGTCAGAATCTACAGTCTACCTGATAGCCCTTATTTTCCTGGATACTTTGCTGCTGTTCACTCTTCCTTTTAAAATAGTTTCCTATCACCTCCAGAACAACTGGAAATTCGGGTCCATGTTTTGTTCCACCTTGGAGAGTCTTTACTTTATAAATATGTATGGCAGCATCCTCATCTCCCTCTGCATCTGCGTTGACCGCTACATCGCAATCCAGCACCCTTTCATGGCTCCCGCCCTGCGCTCCACCAAGAAAGCTGCTCTGGTCTGTGCTGCCATCTGCCTGGGCATCTCGGCCGGGACCGTGTCTACTTCCCAGTTTCATGAGGAGAGCTACAACATCTCGTCCTGCTTCTACAACTTCTCCAAAAGCACGTGGGAGAACACAGGCCTGATAATCACCCTGGAGATGATCTTCTTTGGCAGCATGGTGGCCATGGCCTTCTGCACCATTCAGATCATCAGGTGTCTGAGAAATCACAGAAAATCAGGGAACGCCCAGACACACATGACCAGAGCAGAGAAGGTAGTAGTGACAAACTTTGTCACGTTTTTGGTCTGTTTCACACCTTACCATGTGACGTTCTTCCTGTACTTTTTGGTGAGAAATGGCATCATGCACATCCCTTGTCACGCTGTGCTACGGGACATCCTTCAGGTCACCCTTTGCTGGGCTAATCTGAACTGCTGTCTGGATGCAGCCTGTTACTATTTTGTTTTAAAGGAGTCTGCAGAAGGTTCGTTGCAAAACAAAGTGAGAAATCACCAAGAGGAAAGGTTTGATCTGCACACTGAACGTTAGTTACTTCACCCAGCAAGAGGAGATGCTATCATGAAAGGTGCAGGACCTTGAACTACTTTTCTAAACCATTTACTTTAAATACTCGGATGTGAAAATACGTCATAAAAAGAACAGAACTAAGCCCATTCTCAGGGCTCCTAGCTGATTTGCTTCCCTTCCACAATGCTTTGTGTTGTCATTTATGGATAAAAAGAATCGAAATTATTTCTTGTAAATAGTGATGCATATCTCTTTGGATGTGATTCCCTTTTACTTTGGGAAAAAAAAAAAAAAAAAAAGTATTTACTTACAGATGGTAGCATTTTTTACTCCAATGTCCTCACCACACCTGCAGTCCTTCAGGCCTTCAGTCACTACAGCCCTGGGCTGCAAAGAAGCCTGGAGCTTATGGCAAAAAAAAAAAGCTTCAGATGAAATCCTGTTGCCCCTACTGCCCTGATCATACATGTGATCATACACTGTGTTATAGACTGAGTTCCAGACTTCCCTGCCAGCTCTTTTTACAGGCTTTTCACATACTGGTTCCTTCCTGGTTGGAACTACAAAAGTAGTTTCATGCACAGAGCCAAACCAAACAAGACATTCAATAAAAAAGCCTGAGCCCAGCGCAGCAGCGAACAGATGACAACCCCCCCATTCACAGAGAGGTAAGGTAAAAGCCCCAAAGCAGCAGCCAGCACCATAGGACCTCAAACAACTTTTTGTAACTTGGAAGAAGATGAGCACTATCACTTCCCAAACAAACGAGGCAATAAAAAAAATCCACTGACAGAAGCCTCACATACCGATCAGTTACTTTCTTATCAGTGCTCACAGGCATCCAGATAGCCTGAATTCGTCATTGGTGGTCCCAATGAGAGAGGGACTGAGAGAGGCAACGCAGTGCCCTGGGCACACTGCTGCCTCCAGCACTGCTCTGTAGCAGCCAGTCCCTTTGCCAGGGTTGAGAATGATGACAACTGAAGCAGTTAGTGTTCATATTCACATAGAGCTGGATCCTTGCAGTATTATCTCCCAGACATGGATACTAATTCCAGCCTCTGCACTGACTTTTCTCTGTACATTTGTGAGAAGGATTATGCATAAAACCAAGAACTGACTTCCTCTTGAGCTCCACTTTGCATGTGGAGAAAGTGAAAGTTTATGATGTTGCCACATCTTTGTATGAGATCTACACTGAAGTGCAGTTGCTGAAGAAGGAAATGCAAGCCTGATGCGGACGTAAGTATCTTCCATTTCCTCCCTCAGTAAATTCAGAAAATCTAGCTAGCTTCCCTGCCAGCAGACAGCAGATCCTCATTGCCTCCTTGTTCACAGCTTGCCCTTAGCTGCACTGCAATAGACACAGAGGTTTTATCACTGAGATTTCAGACTCTTTTTGGAAGCGTGGTTTATGTATAACAGAAGAAAGCAGTGCTGGTGCAGAAGACTTAGTGGTTAAAATGGACACTAAAGGGTGTTGTTGACTTTAACCAATAATGCCTGAATATAGGAACAGAGATTGTATCAGTTCCTCATGAGGCAAAAAATGCCTTAGTATAATGGGAAACTGATTTCAATTGCATTTCTGCAGCACGAGGTAGCTCCTCCTCCCAGAGAAGGAGTGTGAAATAGTTTATTTTGCTTTGCAAGTGGAGTGCTGCAATGGGCACAGGCAGAAATCACACTCCATTCAGCAAAGCTGCTGCATACTCTCTTAACTGACCACATTTACTGGTGATAGTGATGTTATCAGATAAAGTGCTGTAAAGATACAGAAATGACACAACACAGTGACAGGAGCATTCCCGTTGCTGACCTTGCTGTGACAGAGTCAGAGACACACACGGCCCTGGACACATCTGGTATTGGTGGGAGGATGCTCTGCTTCTCACACCTGACCTCCGCAGCCTTCTCCTGGATTTGCAACTGAGCAGTGTGCAGCAGTACAATTCAGTTGAGTGCAGCAGCTTGCCTTGCTCAGCTTCAGAATGAAGGGGAACTGATTTCACTAGAAAGGCAAAGACTTTTCCCTCCACTGAGAAACTTCTAGCACTAGGCTCCAATGACTCTCTGTATTTTAGATACTGTGAAAGGCAAAGCACACCTACAACATCTCTGTTTATCCATCATCTCATCTCACTTATTCCCCTTACTCCAATTTTTGTACATTGCTGCTTCAAAAGGGTGACATTTACCACATTTTCTAACATGACAAAACAGTTGCTGTTAAGAATCCCAACAGCTGTTCTATGAAGGATCACAAACATTTCCCAGGAAGAAGAACACCAAAGAATGTAAGATTTTATGTCTGCTATATACCACGGATTCCTATTAATCCCTGTCTCCATTTCAAAAGATTAAGCTGGTTTTATACCTGTGAGCAAATATTAGCAGTTTAGAGTTCTGAATGTGGCCAGTCAGTTGTTCATCTGAAACTAAGCATTACAAACCCAGGAAATCCAGGTTAGACTGCACTTCAGAACACATCAATGCAATCCTGACCATTCCCTGTTAAGTATTAACTTTGCGATAACAAAACCATCTCCCCGAGTGACATCTAACCCAGGCCCACTTGGCCAGCCAGTGTCTGAGACAATGAAGGACAGTATTTGAATTAGGTTTATGCATGAGAAGTTACAGACAGCAGAGACCAGTCTGACTTCAGCTGTGCTAATAGGCTTGAAAATATCCCAGCTAGAAGGGGGCAGAAACAAATGAATGGGACTGTCTGCAAACCAGACCTAGTGGAGCTGTAAAAGCCCTGTGGATAGGTTTGTTTCCCTCATGCAGAGTGAAATAAGTTAGTATTAATAATGAATGTGTTTATGCAGGCCATTTTATATAAGTAGAGAGAAAGCAAAAGAGGCTGAGCTCTGAAATACACATCCTTGATCTGACCTCACGCTCTTGCAGAAACTCCTGCCTGCATCTGCCCAGCGAGGGTCATGGGGCAGAACCCTGCTGGACAGTGAGACATGTTCACTGCCACCTGAGATGCTCTGGTGTGCCCCACTCAATCACCCATTCCAAGTTCAATGGGAATGGGCTCTGCTGGGCTCTTCTCACTTCTCACTGCCCCTCATTGCTAGCCTGCCACAAACCTCCAACCCCTTATGGCATCACACGCAGCACAAGGACTCCTAAATCCTACCCTGCTCACTGAACTTCAGGTTGTGTAGCTTGCAGATCAAGGCAGCCAGACTCCCATATTGAGAACTAACTAATTTGCTTCAGGTGAAGGGGCTGTTTTTCTAGAATTCATCTGCATTCATTCAAGAACCTTATTTTCAGTGTCCTTCACCATTCTTACAGTCACATCTGTCACACGAGGTCTACACTCCTGCCCCCACCCAGTGCTTACACGTCCTTTGAACACAGATGTGAACAGAACCATGTAGGTCACCCTCTCTTATTAAAGTTTGGACAAAACTATCTGGGCACAAATTATTTTCCCAGGCAAATAAAAAAGGTCAAAGCAGCAAAACTTGAAGGTAACCCTGAACGAGCTGGGAGAACAGAAGACCTTTGCAGATCAGTTTGAGGGCTCCTATAAAAGTCTGTGGGTAACCAATGTGGCACAAAAGTCAGAACAAAGTGTTGCTAGGCAAGTTTCCCAAATCCAAGGAGATGAAGAAGAGGCAGTGCAAGGCTGCAGAAGGTGACAAACCATTCTGTGGAGCAGAACCACAGTGCAGGTACCCTGCTGGAGCAAACAGAGAGCAGAGGGGGAATTCACTGATGAAACTTCCATTTCTTTAGTGCACCCCACTCTCACTGCAAGCCACATTCCCTCAACTTCTGCTGTGCCTGATGTTAGAAACCCTTTTCTGTATCACAATCAGCAGCTGTGGAAATGAAGTCAGGATTGTTGCCTGGAGGGCATGATTGAATTGTGAGCACCCAATTGTGCTCACTGCAGAGATTCCAGTGGTCAGGCTCCAAGCAAGGAATAACTAATAGGGATAGACCAGTTCTTGAGGAAAAAAAAAAGGCCCTGCTTTCATGCACATAGTATTTGTTAGGAAGACCAATGAAGGAGAATAAAGAAAGTCAGAGATGAAGCAGCGGAATCCTTCAGGGCTGAAGGTTTTTCAGGAGAATCTTTAAACTGTAAACAAAATTTCAGAGCTGTTTGGGCTTTGCTTTTGCAGCCCTGGGTGGAAGTTTGTAGACACAACCCAAAGCAGGTGTCAGGTTTGCTTTAGCTTTTTCTTTGTCACTTCACCCCTATTCATTTGTCACTATTTATACCCTTAGAGACAATGTCCAACATCTGTTACTAAACAGTGAAAGGAGATAAAAACTTTAAGAAAAAATTAACCAAAGAAGGAAAGCAAATCAAAGCAAAGAGCAGAGGGGTGTTAAATTAACAGCAGCTCTCCCCAGCAGGCGCCCGCTCTGGAAGCTGCTGTGAGAGATCTCAGCAGCAGCACCAGTGCCAGGAAAAGGATCCATAGGGACTGTGGTGGCTGTGGGAGCGTGCAGGAACTGTCCAGAAAATCGGTGGGAAAATCTCCCTCCCTTGGGCTGCCACAAAGAGAAAATGGCAGGAGAAGGTACAGGCAAGTGGCAGAGCAGTGACAAGGCAGCAAGCAATGCAGCTGCTGGGGGCTGTGTGCCCTGACAGCACACTGCCTCCTGGTGCTGCCCTCTGGCACAGGGCTTTGTTCAGACACAAAACAAAAAAATCCATGGAAATCAACACCCTCCCGCCTCCGAAACAGCAACAAAAAAGAACAATACCCATATATTTCTCCACATACCCCACTGCCTTTGGGATTTGCTTCCACAGGGAGTCCCTGTTACCCGCTGGGCGGCTGTTCCCTGGGCAGGCTGCTCCTTAGCATGGTGGCTGGAGGGTTTCTTTTGTGTATAGGCAGCAAGGGATTGCTCTCCTTTCTCCTCACCTGCAAAATTTAAGAACAGCTGCCATCAGAACAGCAGTGCTTTTAAAGCCTTCCTTCACCCAGTGAAGATTTTGCACAGAAACACTCTCTCGCCTCATGGCACTGAGCCGCATTGCTGCGAGGAAAAGAGGTGGCCTGAGACACCACCGTTTTTGCTTTGAGCTTCCCTGTTTACTTCACATTTGGGTGAGCACTGGGACACTTACAGGAGCAGATTAAAAGCTGCACGTGAGGAGGATCTGGGCATGAGGACACAGGTGTGTGCTGCCATCCCATCGCCATTTGGGACACCTGTGGCAGCCCCACACCATCTGGTGCAGGAGCTGAGCAGCCCTCAGCCCTGCTTGAGGTTAATGCAAAACCATGGGGTAAAAGGGAACTGAAGAATTAAAGACCTGCTGATTTTGTATGGGCGAGCACAAAGTCCTGCTCTGATGAAAGGCAGCACTGCAGGAACAGCTAGGCTGAGCGCTGGATGAGTTCAGATTGCCAAGGAGATTCATGCCAAATATTTACCCTTTGGTGCAATTAAACAACTCCATCCAAAGTGCTGAATGAAGGCGAAGTGCTTTTCCTCTGCAAACCTCATTATGGAGTCGACATACCTTCCTCTCCCCACTCAGCAACCTGGACAGCAGGTTTGTTCCTTGTTACCTGCTGTTGTAAGTGAGGTTTGCTTTTGCTCGCTGTTTGCTCATCCATTTCATGGGCTAACACTGTCGTGGGGAGGGGGAAGAGAAACCATTTACATCCTTGACATCTTAATTGAATCTTTTTTAAAAGCTGCTATAATGCCCAGGGAGAGATGGTCTGAAACACGTATTGCAAACCCGTCTTGTGTCTCAAAGGGGCCCAGGCTGAGCTGCGACCACCTGTGCTGTGTTAGCACTCACAGCTCTGCTTCTGGCTGCTTTTCTGCATTTTACACACACTCATTTCAATTCATGGAAAAGGGAGAACAGCCCACGTGGAGTGACTTTATTAGAGCAGAGGCAATCGTGGCATCATGATCCGAAAACAGCGAGAAGCAGCTGGGGTCTGATCCAAAGCCTTTATCTTACCTCCTGAAAGGAAAGGAGCACAAAAACCACAGAACAGCAAGATTAAAAATTAGTTGCACCATTAATAATGGATGGGGCACAGAGAGAAATCCTGGGGAAATCTCTTTAAAAGACAATGAATTCTGAGAATTTTCTTCAGTGTGCTTCAATCAGTTGTCCTCTTCTCTGAAGCTTCTTTCCCTAGACTGAGCATGAGAATATCTCAACTATTGCATGGTATGATATCAATTGGACTCAAAAACAGATCTAAAAGCTCAATTGTGAAGTTATATATACTTGGCCTTTCAGATTAATAAATCTAAACGAATTGAACAACATCGTGGCTTCCACTGAAGAATTCTTTTGCACTAGCAAGAACAGTTAATCAGAACTGGCATAAACACATTCCCTATAAATAATAATATTCCCAGAGAAAATATTCTCTGCAAACTTAAGGAAACAGCTGCTTCTTGATTCTTCAACCCACCCATTTAAGATATCAACAAGACAGCCTAAAACAAGATTGTCTGTGAATACAGTAGAGATGCTGAAAGCAGCAGCCCCAAGGCAGCAGGCAGGGACACACAGTTGGTATTCCTGCTCAGTACTTACCGCCTTACCTGCAGGCACTGCATGTCAGATGCCACTGCATTTCAGAGCGATCGGGTCTGGTCCTCGTGCAGAGAAGCAGAACTCTCCTATGTACATGAGGCTGTTCTGCAGCCACCAGGAAAAGCAACAGCTAGTATCACCCTGTCTTGAAGTCAGCTTTGTTTTGTAAAATACCAGCTAATATAAATATCTGATGCACAGGGCCATAGGTGTCCAATCCTTTGGCTTGCCTGGGCTGCACTGAATGAAGAGGAATTGTCTAGGTTGCTCCAAAAGCAATTCCTCCTGTTTACTTCCATGGAGATTACAACCAATACGAAGAGAGCAATAACATTATTTGATGGAGCAAATTCTCAGATACAAAACACTTTTTCAACATAGGTACCACCATTAGCTATGAATTTTATGACTGGAGGAGACACGATCAGATTTTTGAGTTGAATGTCTGATTGCAACTGTACATTCCATTCAAAACTTTGTGGATTATGTATTTAAATTGACTGAAAATGGAGTCACAAACATAAACTGATGATTTTTTCAGCAACCTTGAAACCTATCCTCAAATTCCTTTATCAGAATGAAGAGCACGGCATATTTTTTGCTGTTCACAAGACTGTGTTTAGCCAATGTATCCTTACTCTCCAGGAAGCAAAGGGGCCCAATTTTGGACATCCTAAGGCACATATATAAGTGTGTCCAAGAGTTAGAACAGCCTTTCATTAGTTTGGCATCAATAGAAGGTATCTGACATCTGTTCTTGTTGAGCCGCATGGGCTGGGTACAAACAACAAGGCAAGCTTCACGGGACTTCCCACCAACCCAGCAAGATGCCCCAGCCTGCAGTGGGACACACAGACAACACATTCCAAGGAATGTGCTTGAGGGTGTTGGGACGGGCTGCTCCTGCTCCACAGCAGGGAGACTGAGTTCAGAAGTAATCCTGAAATCCTGTAGTCACACACGGTCAAAACAGATGAGTTTCAAATTCACGGTAACAGCAGATCTTGCCTCTCTATTACCCTCCAAATGGTTAGCTAGGTGAAAAACTAAGACTTCAGTCGTGATGACGAAGAATATTCCGGGCGCTGGTCATCAACAGTCAGAATATGCCTATTTCTTGTACTAACACTGAAACAGATGGTCCTAATAGGTGCACACTGAAATCATCTCCTCAGCACTTACTTTTTAGGACAACATTTTGATTTTCCCAGTAAGCAATCTCCTGGCAGAGCACCACTCAGATCACAACTTTTTCCTCACTGACCTCTCTTCTGGAAAGGCCGCAGGAATTTCCTGAGGCACAGACACAGAGGAACAGTGGATTTTCCAGACGTGACTCCAGAAAACACCTTTGCAAGCTGCCACCATTTCCGTCTTTACATCAGTCCAAATTAATAGCTTGAGCTGCAGAACAGGCTTCGGCAAATGACTGCAGAATGCAAATCCCTTCTACAGAACCCCAACAATGGAAAAAGCACCCAGGTACAGAAGAGGTAAATTCAAAAACGTGTTTTGATTGGGAACAAACACACACTTTATGTATCAGAGGTAAAAGATTTTATTATCCCATGGATGTTTCCTAAGAGGTAAGAGTTCTACCAGACAAAATATACAAAGCATTTTCTTTCTAGACAGCTGCATTCTCACCCTATGAAACAGCAACCACATTAGTTCACCTTAAAGAATCAGGGCTTGTCCTTACAGCTGCGGGGTTGCAGGGAGTTAGCATATTCAATGACCAGTTAATTCATGCAGAATCAGAGGGAAGGGAAAAGGTCTGAGCGCTCACTTGAGTGCAGGCTTAGGATCTCGGAAACAGAGAGAAATGCAGGGCTTAAATTTACCAGTTTGTGATACTTGCACCAAGCAAACCGATACTCTGACTCTCATCATTCACTCTGTGATAAAAGGCTAGGGCTAATAGCAAGTTGTAGTTGGAAAAACACAGCTGTACTATAAAAGCAAATACTCCGCCGGCAGTGGGAAACTTTCCTCACCGGTCTGCAAGAAACACGTGCCATCTGACATCTCACATCCACCTTAAAGCAGGAGATCAGCATCTCCTGCTCTACCTATTAAGATCTAATGTTTACGGTTGACTCTTATATAAAAAAATAATAACCTGGGCTTCCAAGGGCATACTGCTATTGCGTTATGTGATCATTTTAAGGTACTGTTTTGTTTTCATACAATTAGCTCACAGTACTACTAATAGAAGTTTGACTCTCAAATACATTAATTTTTTTTGGTCCTGCTGAGTTAATGATTGTTCTTGCATTTACTTTATCCTTTCTCTTCCTGAAACAACAAGGTCATTTCAACAGATGAACAAGTCCAGATTTGCTGAAAACCAATTAACAAGAATGTGCCAAGCTGTTCTTTCAAGTCAAAAAACTGCCTGCATTTTAAGAACCTCATTAGTTTTAACTATATTTATGGAACAGAGGGAAGAATATTTAATTACCCTGCAATTCTTCTTTCTGATGATCAATAGAAACACAATTTTGTTCACACAATTTCTCTGCATTATATTGATGCACTGAATCTTGCCTTGTATCAACACCTGCTCTCCAGCGGTGCCTACAGATGACACAACACACAGCTGGGCTAGAGGAATTATGATCAAAACAGCTTTCTTCAGAGGAGTCCTATGGGAATATGCTCTCAAAAACAAACAAACAAACAAGCAACAAAAAAACCCCAAACCACCATCTCTGCAGTTGCCAGTAACAGAGATTCTGCTGCTGATACCACTTTGCATGCTGGCATGGCACCCATCCACAGACAGATGGGATTCTGACAACTCAGAAAGACAGATCTATGTGAACAAAACTCATCTTCCAGGCAGGAGCAGGTCTGGAGAGGTGAGCTAAAAATAAAGTGCCCAGCTCCATCAGCAGCCCATAGATGGGACATCAGATATGAGCTTTGGTAGCATGTATCAAAGGCTCACCTCTATTTACTCAGGCAATACAGCAGGAAATGAGCTCAGGAGCCACAAGCAGACACCACTTGCTTGTTATACTGAAGGCTGAGGGAGGGTAGCCTGGCTGATTCCAGGTATGCCACTCCAATTCAGCCAGAAGCTAGACACAGAAACAATGCATACGGGCTGCTTCCACTGTTTGAAAACTTGGTCTTCATTGGGACAACAAACTGTGAGCATCACAGTTCATTGTGGGCAGAAACCCTCCTTCTGCTGAGCTTTCCAAATCACCCTCTTTGTAACCTAACATCTAATTCTAAGTC